AAAAGTGAGAAACTGAATTTCCAGCTCACTTGATATGACTAATTTTTTCCACCTGATTTTTTTCCCCCCCATAATCCATGTGATTGATGTCTAGGGACCAGCCATCCAATCTGAGTTTATACCTATATTCGTAGAAGGGAGGTATTGTTTTAGAATTCAGAGTCTACATGTTACAAAACAAAAAGCAAAACAAAACAACCCCCCTCAACCCAAATCAGCACCCAACCCCCGCCCCCCAACCAAAACAAAGCAAAACAAAAAAACAAGCAAAGAATATTTTTTTGTTACATTGACATATACATCATCGTCCATGTAAGTGCATAGCCTTAGGTATGAAAAACAACTGTTCACTCACTTGGGTATGTACTTATCCAGACTTAATATAAACGATACTTGTTAGTTGTCCAGTGCTGTGGTATTGGCATCTCTGAAACTGCTGATTCTTATAAAAGATTTTAATATTCATAGCTCTGCCCAAATGTGCTTAACTCTTAGCCAGCACTGTGCAATCACAGTGATGATAATTCATAATAATTTTTAGTTGTTTGTTTTTTGCTTTTTATTCTGTGCTACATGTATATTGTCCTTTTTGAAGCCAAATTCAAGAAGGGACATCCTTTATACATATACTTAAGTCATGCTGAAATAATGGAACAAGCAGCTTTTTAAAATTGAGCATATGTTGTCCTGCTTAGGGATGAACTTAAATACAAATTTAAATATTTCTGGAACTGGAACCTTAGAACACGGCTAGTTCTTAGTACTTAGATGCTGAAATCTGAAGTGCTACATTAGGCAAAGTGGATTAAAATCAATTTTACAGGTATGTATTGTATTTTAAATATTGTGGTGGACTTTTGTCTTTTATGTCCTAATATCTTTTCTATTGTTTTCTGTTTGCACATGAAGATACTACTAATATTGGGGGCAGATGGATTTTTGAGAGACTTCATTATATTTTTAGGAGGTTCTTTCCATTCATAAAAGATAGAGATGGAAATTGTAACAGTATTGCTCATGAATTTTCATCTTGAATCATATACAGGTGCAATTGATGACCCTTTTTTAGAATGGAAATACTTGCTACAAGATTGCATTTTCGTTATCAGAGTTTTTGCTTGAGCTAGTGTATTTTAGGTCTTTATATTGCAGATGTTGTGGAGCTGGTATGGAACCAGAATTTCTGCTTCAAAATGTGGAACAACTTATCTTCATCATAATACACCATGACAGGTTTCATTACTTGTATAACAGAAAGGATCAAGGGGCAGGTGAATTTAAGAAGAAAGTGTTCAGGGATTTCTTGGTTTTCTGACATCTTGTGCACTTTCTCTCTTAATGAGATTGGTTTATGATTGATGGCTGCTTGCCCTTTGCTTTCTCTTCATTTTTTTCAAGTAGAAAGTAAATGCAAGAAATATATTTTATTTGGATGTAGAAATAGGTAGTAGCAGAAGAAAGATTGACCTCTGCCTATTTAAAAAAAAAAAATGAAAGACATACAAGGATTATATTTGTTGGTTTCAAAACTGCAAAAACTTCCAAAAGCCAGGGAATCATGACAAATTTGCCTATATAACTTGCATGTCTACATATAATTACATATGCAAGCCTCTGAAAGTCTGGTCTTTGATTTTAAACTGAATGTAAATGCAAACATTAAACTGTTAGAAAATGCTTTCAAATTAACATTTTAGAGAGCAATTAACCACAGTGTGGTATGAAACTGAGCCGAGAGGCAGTGAGCAGTAAGGTTTATTTATATAGTTCCTTTCATCGGAAAGGATCCCAAATGGAACATTTTGCAAACTGTTTTAAAAAGTACTGTAAATATAAACTATTGATATAGATATCATCTAGGTAGACAGTGAATGAGATGCCTGTTACTGGTACTTTTACTCTATGGCTTTGCACCGTTAGGCTACTGCCGCCTCAGCGATCCAGCTTCCCCTGAAACAAAAGTCTCACTGGGAAAAGAGATCCCGGGGCGCGCCTGACATTTGATAAGGAGGAGCTGTGTCTGGTCGTCAGTTAGTCCGGGCAAAGCTATCTAAGGCAGTCCCATCTGGGTCGCCAAAAACTGTTGAGCCCCAGCTCAAGTCTGGGATCGTGCCCAGTATGCAAAAGCCAATAAAGATACCAGGGGTGAAAGTATAAAGATTTATTGCTAGCAATACAAGGTGCAAGCGGAATAATTTCACGTAACAAGCACACAGATTCTTAATTCTAAGCATCTTTTATACAGGAGTATTGGACCTTCATAAGCATTTTTGTTTGCTAATTGGTTATAAGGGAGTGACACAAGGAGTTCTTTACTGAGCATGTCTCTATACCTGTGTTTTAGCTATGTATCTCATTTACATACAAGTATGTTTCATTAGCATACTTTCTCCCCACCTAGGGGTGTGATTTTTAATATTTAAATTAGCTCTTTGCCCTAGTCCTCTGATTCTGCTTTTGTTTTCAAGCCTCCTTTATCTAAGACTGTCTCCTCCTTATCATTGCAGATGGGCATTAGTTACATAACAGAAACTTTTGCTTGGGCTTTATATAGTGGATTCTAAGTCAAACCTGACAGAAGAGGCTGGTAAAACAGCTTCTGCAGTTCCCACAGACTAAAAATCTGTTTCCCCCTATATTTGTTGGGGTGAGTTTCCCAGAAGCTAGATTAGATTTATAAGGTTAGTAAACTTTGCAAGGATGGCTACAAGTAAAAAAACATATTTTTTTATCTTGGTTTTACTGGGTGCTGGTCAGCCGAGACAGATGTCCTTTAAACACCAAGGACTAAAGCTTAGTCTATATTACGAATTAGTTTGTAGAAACCCCTCATTCCTTCCCCTCATTCCCTACCCCCTGTGTGGAGTTAGTACACTTCAGTTGTTTTGGAGGCTCTATAGCTACATAGGCAGAAAAACTTTTCTGGTACCATATCCTACATCACCACCTGGGGGCCTAGCCATGATTTCATAGATTTCATAGACATTAGGGCTGGAAGGGACCTCGGAAAATCATCGAGTCCAGCCCCCTGCCCAAAGGGCAGGAAGTCAGCTGGGGTCATAGGATCCCAGCAAGATGAGCATCCAGTTAGCTCTTGAAGGTGTTCAATGTAGGCGCTTGAACCACCTCCGGTGGCAGGCTGTTCCAGACCTTGGGGGCTCGGACAGTAAAGAAATTCTTCCTTATGTCCAGCCTGAAACGGTCTTGTAGTAGTTTATGACCATTCGACCTAGTCGTCATCCCTTGGGGCGCTCTGGTGAACAAACGTTCCCCCAGATACTGGTGGTCACCCCTGATAAACATATAGGTGGCCATCAGATCACCCCTGAGCCTGCGCTTTTCCAGGCTAAAGAGCCCCAGGGCTCTCAGCCTGTCATCGTAGGGTCTGCTTCCCTGACCTCTGATCATGCGTGTGGCTCTTCTGTGGACTCTCTCAAGCTTCTCCACATCCTTTTTGAATTGTGGAGCCCAAAACTGGACGAAGTACTCCAGCTGTGGCCTCACTAAGGCCGAGTACAAGGGGAGAATGACGTCCCGGGATTTTCTTGAGAAGCATCTATGGATGCAAGCCAGCGTTTTGGTCGCTTTACTAGCCGCAGCATTGCACTGCAGGCTCATGTTCATCTTGTGGTCAATGATGACCCCCAAGTCTCTTTCTTCCATAGTGCTAGCCAACATAGCACTGCCGAGCCTATAAGAATGCTGCAGGTTTTTCTTCCCAAGGTGGAGAACCTTGCATTTATCGGCGTTGAACACCATCAGATTCTCATCCGCCCACTTGCTGAGCCTGTCCAGGTCAGCCTGGATCACCCGGCTGTCTTCTGGTGTGGATGCTTTGCCCCAAAGTTTGGTGTCATTGGCGAACTTGGCCAGTCCGCTTCTGACTCCAGTGTCCACATCATTAATGAAGATGTTGAACAGTATGGGTCCAAGGACAGAGCCTCGGGGGACCCCACTGGTCACAGGACACCATGATGAGTGACTTCCATCAATTACTACCCTCTGGGTCCGACCCCATAGCCAATTTTCCAGCCAGTGGATCGTGGAGGACCCAAGGCGACAATTGGCCAGTTTCTCCAAGAGGTGATCGTGGGAAACCAGATCGAAGGCTTTTTTGAAGTCAAGATATATGACATCAATCTCTTCTCCCTTGTCCAGGTGATAGGTCACCTGGTCGTAGAAGGAAATGAGATTGGTCAAGCAAGACCTACCCGCAACAAACTCGTGCTGGCTATCCCTTAAGATGATGCCTGCACAGCTGTCACTGCAGCAGCTCCACAATGTAGATAAGCACTAAAATGCCTTGTTCTTTAAAAAAAGGGCAAGGAGAAAACAAAGTTAAGTGCCTTGTATGTATGCTGCTTTTCACAAGAGGTAAGATGATTGCTTATTCAACCTTAATATTCAGTCTTACTGATTATTCAATTAGCCATGTCAATTTGTTTTCACGAGGAAACCTGCAGTCTGTGATAATTTGTAACCCTATTGTATGGATGTTGGGTGATTTACATGGAGTTTCTGCCCTCCTTCAGGGTCATGTCCCCCCCACTCCTAACTGAGACCCATATACCAGTGTTCATTCAGTGGTGTTCCTGAGGAGAATGCAGCATAGACTCTGTTCCCTAGTCTGTGTTGAATACCTGTTTAATATTCATACTGCACCTTTCTCACCCAGTCCCTGACACAGAATGCAAAGGTATATTTGACTACAGAGGCAAAAACAAATTCTGTCTTCAGGAACACTTGTGTTAAATTCAGTAACTTAAATTGTGATTGGCTAAATGTAACTGAAAACAGAGCTTGGCCATAAAGCAAATCAAGCATATTCCACTATTATAATAATAATTCTAATTTTAAGTCATTTTGAGAGAGAGTTCAGGGTTGCTACAACTCTCTTTCTCTGAACTTCAAATATAACCCTAGAATTCAAATTGTGTTCATGAGTATATATTTTATAATGGCTTCAGCAGAACATAATACAGTAAATTAATATTACGCAGGATATCTGTATCAGCGCTGTTAAAGAAAAGGATATTGAAGCAAAATTGAAACATGTCATCAATGAGTGGAGTACTCATGTCTTTACATTCAGCCAGTTCAAAACAAGAGGAGAACTGCTTCTGAAAGGATCAGATATATCAGAGAAGATAGCATTGATGGAAGACAGTCTCATGATATTGGGATCCCTTTTGAGCAACAGGTACAAAAAGTAACAAATAAATATTCTGTATATTATATAATTTATATACTACTAAGAACATCCTACTGTTTTTTGCTCATGTTAACATTACAGGTACAATGCACCATTTAAGCCCGCAATACAACAATGGGTTCAGAAATTGACCAATACCACAGAAATAATTGAAAACTGGATTATAGTACAAAACCTCTGGATTTACCTGGAAGCTGTGTTTGTTGGTGGAGACATTGCGAAACAACTGCCTCAGGTCTGTTGATTTACATTACATTTCCATCTTTGAAGACTTATAACAAGAGCTTAGTTAAAACACAGAATTTCTTAAACATCTTGAATAATAATAAAGTCCAAGCTTCCGGTCTGTACGTAGGCAAACTACCACAGGGAAATTCAGAGGGTGTTTTACCTGATTGTGGTCTATAGGGTTGGGCTTCTAGAACCTGAATCAAACTGATCAAATCAGAATTTAGAATTAAGCCTAAAATGCTGACTGTAACCCACTCCTGGGAGGGGGAGTAATTTCTGGCTAATTAAAAAAAACCTAACATATGGCCACATACCACCGTTTCCCAGATATTTATAGACAGTATAAATGATAATGTGAGCTCCTATTCTGCCTGAGACCAATCTTCACGCATTTCGTATCTGCTAAGAAAAGGAATAACTTTTTCAGGAGTCTGTGCATAAGAACATTACAAGCCCTGGGTAGATGCATAGGTGCATGTTGCACATGTAGGCCATTTTCAGTTACCCAAAAGCCCTTTCTGCACTTCCATGATACTAATTGTACAAAATGTAGGAGGTGATCTCTGTAACATTCTGGAGGAGGAAAAATCAAAGCAATGCAGTTTTACTGAACCCCTCTTTCTGCTTACTGTTTTGCAAGTGTGTATGACCAGCCAGAATTTGGCACGTAACACACAGGTGTTATGACCAGCACGTAGGTGGTCCAAAACAGTAGTTAGACCAGGGTTGTGTCAGAGATCTGGGCCAGAATCAAAGTCTGAAAAGTGAGCTGAAGGTCATAAACATGCAGTTCACACCAAAGTCAGGAAACAGGAGGAGTCTAGGGAAGACGCAGAACCTGCACTGAAGACCAGCTTGTATGGAAACTAGGTTGGGCACTGGAGAAAAAGCTTGGCCTTAGCAGACTTGCCCAAGGTCTATAGAAAATTCTTTGAATGGATGCTTGCAAGCAGTCTGTTAAGTCTTTTCATAGTTGACCATGAGAGAGTGTTGTGTGGGGACAAAGCTCATGTGGGGCCTGACCAAACCTAGTTAACTTGCGCTGAGGATATGGTTATCCACAGGATCCCTTAGTTCTTTTATGTGTAAAAAATGTGTAACTAAAACGCCCCAGTAATATTCTAAGGTATTTACATATATTTACTTGTATTTCACACTAAATGAATTATAATTAAAAATATATAACTTCTGTTTCCAAACTGTTAAATATGATTAGGATGAATTGTTTCTTGAACCTTACAGTATATTTTCAGGGTAATGTCATAGTGGAAACAATGGTCAGTTTTTGCAGATGACTAAATTCTCAAGTACAGCTAAGGAGTTTGGTAACTGCAGAAGCTACTTACTTCATACTGTATGAATGTTATTCGTATACAGTAAGAAAGAGTAAAAAGAAGTCACATGACCAAGCTCAGAAAAATAGTTCTTTCTTGCCCTTTTAGGATATGAAAATTCATTTTTTTCATTCACAACACTTTATGAATTGGATCATCATCAAATACTTAATTATTTAAAATTGGAGTAAAAAAGTCAATAATTGTTTAGAGGAGTGGCTACAGTGGAAATGCTATAATATAAGTGAAAAAAACACAGTACCATGAAGTCAATAGCCTTTTTGTGAGGAAGATGCGATTTGATTTTTCTAGTCAGAAACTGTCTGAAATCCTGTTATATAATTATGTGGGATAAGTTCATGCTGCACAACTTGGTGGATTGTAGAAATACTTAGACCGGGTCTAAACAAGCCAGGTTGGGTACCAGTAGCAGCATGGGTAGATCTAGACTTTTGAAAAGAGGGGTGCAGGTGAGGAGGAGCATCATCATATATAAAACAACATATATTTTTCATAGTTTCATAGTTGGTAGGGTCAGAAGGGACCTGAGGAGATCATCTAGTCCAACCCCCTGCCGTGGCAGGAAAGAGTACTGGGGTCAAACGACCCCAGCCAGATGTTCGTTCAGCCTCCTTTTAAATACCCCCAGGGTAGCAGCCAGCACCACTTCTTTTGGAAGTTGGTTCCAGGTCCTAGCCGCAG